TCTTTACCCTCCTTGGCATCCACCATCATTAGTTTAATGGTGTCTGAGGATACATCCATGTTCCGTTTAATAGCTATAATGAGATTTTACATCCATGAATTTTCGTCCTTTGTCAGAAAGGGGGGCTAACTAGGGGCTAAGTTATTTGCCTCTACAACTTTGTGTTTCAATGAGTTCTGCAAGTTTAACTACACACTACACAAAATAAAATAAAATAAAATACTTTCTCGTGTTAGTTTTAAACCTGCTTCCTGCTAATTTAAGGGGTGCCCCATAGTTTTAGTGTTCTGGAACTTGGTGAATAACAGTTCCCCATTTCATTTTCTTCACATCGTCATCATTTCATAGACCACTATGATATTCCCCCTAGGTTTTCTCCTTTCCAAACTGAAGAATATAGCTTTTTTAGCCTCTCCTAGCATGGCAGCTGTTCCATACCCCAATCATCTTGGTTGTCCTTCTCTGTACCTCTTCCAATTCTACAACATTTTTGAGATGTAAAGACTAGAACTGCACACAGTTGTACGCAGCTTTTGGAGACTGACCCACTATTTCATTATATATGTGCGAGAAGGGCAGAAGGATGCATCAGAAGTATATGTGAACCTGCCATTGATAACCTTGGGTGTCTGAGGGTGCGTCTACACTTCACCGTATGGCAACATTACTACGGCACCATGTGCACGCGTCTGGTCTTGTATAGGCACTCTCTAGCAACCTTCGAGCACACACCTGGTTCCAGCCACAGGGTGTGTCCCCAGGACTTGTGCGATGGGTCGCGTTCACCCCCAAGGGAGGCTCCGACACTTGCCTGGTATGACTTGGTCTTCTTTTCTTCAGTGGTGGGGCTTCTCCTCACAGATTCTAGCAGACCGGGTGCTGCCCTTTGCAGGCGTTCTTGGGGCTCCACCTCCCCTACACCCCAGCCATACACCCACCCTCAGGACTGCCGAATAATGAGTTGCCAGCCTGTCCCTTTTGATGTTCTCGTCCTCTCCCTGCCTATCCCTCAATGAACTTTTTACCCCGGATGACAGCGGGGTGTGGGACCGTCCTTGTCTCTGCAACTGTTCTCCCTCTGAGGCATCTGCTGTGCTACCTCAGTTCTGTCTCTTGACTTAGAGTCACTTGGAGGTTCCTTCCCCATTTCAGGCTCTGTGCACCTTCCAAAATTAAAAGAAAAGAAAAGACCAGAATAATCGGGGTATGGGCTTCTGCCCACCCTACTCATGGGTCCAGCGTCTGTGGTCCTTGAGATCCCTCGATGCCGTCCTTCCTTGGCCCAGCTGCCTTGCCAAGTCGGGTGTGTAATTCTTTTAATGGGGTCGAGACCCCTCCTGCAGGTCTCTGTTCAGCTCCCTGCTGAGCTGCCAACCCTACTGAGTTGCAGCCCAGGGAGCAGCTTCACCCTCCGACTCCTGCCCCCTCTCCCATTTCCCCGCCGCCGGCTTTTAAATCTGCCAGGCAACAGTTTTTGCTGACGTCATCTGCCGACGCCATTCCCAGCCAGCAGTAAAAGCAGCTGATGAACCTCATCAGCAGCCCTTCTTGGCATGGCTCCACTTCTCCTGGGGGTGGTAAGTGCTTTTCAGGGCTTTTCATTTCTTTCTTTGGGCGGGTCAGCCCTGCCTCAGGTCCCGCTGTGGGAGGCTGCTCCGGTGCCTTTGTTTTTGTGCCCCCTAGGGCACCATGCTTTAGGATCTCCTTTTGAAAGTACTAAAGCACAGCACAGCATGGGTGTTTACTGTGGTGTGTGTGTCGCACACAGGTAAATTTTGCTGCTATATTGCTGTAGTGGCACACTATAAGTTGGGGGAGTGCGCCACTATGGTAATGAATCTGGTGATCATGGGTAGACCCATGCGATCACTACATTGCTGTAGTGCGCCATATGGCGACATAGGGCATTGCTACATCACTGTAGGGCGATGTGTAGTAGACATGTCCTGAGATGAATAATTGTTAACCATTGTGCCAGTCTGGAGAGTCTTGTCCTTTTGGGGTTATTTTCCCCTCTTGGGTACTATGTTGTTTTTTCTATGTTTTTGTACACCCTCTGGCAGAATCAGTTCCTTATCCATTCAAGGATGTCTTAGATGCTCCCACAGGACAGATATAGGCAAGTAGTTTTTATGCTAAAATGAGTTAAATGATCAAACTTCTGTTTTTAGTGCCACTTGAGAATTTTTGGACAAGTATCGGCCTGCCCACTTCCCTTTTTTTCTGGTGGGTATTTTCCAGTAGCTTAATGAAAGCATTATTTTTTGATTGGGGTTATTTGTACAGGGAGGTCTCCGACACCATATTGAAAGAATATTTTTGGTAATAACCCAACTTTTATTTTATTACAAATTACCTGCCGGTGCACTTTAGAAATTGGACATATCCATTATGTAAGCAGAGTAGATCCTTTTTTCCCACATTATTAGTATCTATCCCAACACATACTTTGTGGGTGTATAAAATTTAACTGTGCTGGTATGATGCACAGTAGGAAAAATATCTGTTGCTTTCTCTAATCATATTACAAATCAGTATTGCAATACTTCCTTATCTTTATTCCTGTAGAGTGACTTTCCCACGCAAATAATTTTCATGTTCTATACATCAGCAAAGGTGATTTATGCATTAATTGTATTTTTTGCTTTTATTTAATTCACACCCATTATTTCAGTGTGTTATTTCCACATATACAGCTAGAAAAGGCTTTTTCTTTTTTTTCTTTCTTTTACAAATGTTCAGTTATTGCCACAGGACAAGAGAAATCAATCTTTTTCTTGCACGTTTTAATGTTGAATGCTATATATGATGATCAAGTTAGTCATTATTCTTAAAGGAAACTTGAGGACAAGGCATTCTTCCGTAGTGCCATAAGAGAACAAATATATTCACATTATGACTGCAGGACGCAGAAGAGGTTAATTTTATATTTTTGGGTCATGTCTCCCTCTTTTTTCTATTAAAATATTCTGCTTATGCAGAAACCAAAATCATACTAGACCCAAATTCATTCACTGGCACTGGTGCGAGAATGTGTTAAGTGCTCTCTCCCTGCTAGTGAGGCCCTCACTGCCCCTGGGGCAATTCACAGTGAAATGCTGTTTTCTCTGATTCATTCTGTTGGGGTTTCTGCCAAGGTGGGAGGAGGTTTGTTTTAATTTACAGAAGAGACCTGATGGCAAAGGCTGTTGAAGGGATAATCTGATCTTGTTTAACCCTTGGCACCTGAAAACACTCCCCTTCCAGCCAGTGCATCTCATTCGGGCTATACAGCACAGAACCTGCATGTGTCTATGTATTCTGTTTGCTTTTAAGTTATGATGCTATATCTCTGTACAACATAATAAATAGAGTCACCAATACTATGTAAAATATGTAAAGCAAAGAAAACCATCTCTTATCCGGAGTTCATATAGGCCCCCATGAGAATAAGCTTATGACAGACTCTTCCTTTAGATGCCTGATAGAGATTCAAACAGGAGGGTCCACGGAAAACTGGGGAGGGAGGCAAAAAGCATTTCTTTTCAGGATATGATAGACCCTTAGAAACTGCATTAGCAATTTTTTAAAATTGTTTACAACCTATAGCATTATGTTATATACTTATACCATTTATAGTTAATAAAGTCAGAAATCTGATTTTTTTTCCTCCTATATTTTTTTTACCATAATCAATTAAAAGCATTCATAAAAAATGCATCTATCTATGGAAAATCGTTTAGTCATATCTTTTTTTGTAACCATGGAAATTATGAAACTAAATTAATCTCTAGGAAATTTGTTACTGACTGTCATTTTTAGGCAGTCATTGTCAATTTACCTGCTATACTATTAAAACTCTCAAGTTGTTATTGTTATAATATAGCACAATAGTAAAGCTAAGCTTATGGCAAAAAATAATATACAAAGTTGTGTTTTTCAATATAAAAAAATCCCTTTTGACAAGTTATTTAAAAAACTCTACATTATTTATCAGTTTTGATTTTGTGTACCGTAAATGTGTTTCTTTGCCAGGTCCTATTATGTTTTGTTCTTTTTTTATTTAGTGCCTGGGAAACGAATACATAAAAGTGGTTTATTACTTTTAAATGCATTTATTAGCTGTAGATGTTAGTTCTGTATGCAAGGTATCCTGCAAACATAAGATATTTGTAGCAGAACATTCTTGTTTCTTACTTTCCCTGGTTTACAATTAAAGTAAATTATTAAAATTACTCAAAGTATGTTAATATTCTCAGACATCGAATTAGGAAATCCTGTTATGCTGTAAAAAGCTGCAATAATATAAGTTGCTCTCTTACATAAATAAATAAATGACTGAGATTACTGGAGGCTTTAAGCTCCAGGAAAAAAAAATGGAAGAAGTCTTTTATCCTGGTTTTTAGAGGGCATCAGCAGCTTGCTTTTATGAAAAAGTAACAGCTAAATGCACTGCAAATAATTTGCAGTAATCCAGTTCAGTGATTCATGTGTCTGCTTTAATGGGTCATAATTCAGGGTAAAGTAACTGAGTGCAGTCAGAGTGCAGACACTGCTTATGCCAGGGACAGTATCTCTTCATAAAACACACCTCAGCAGAAGCAGTTTGCCAGCCCCCTAATACCCTCTGATGTTTTGATGTCCTGCATATTTTTCCGATTAAGTTTTGAGTGCCATGTTTTTAGTTGTATTTCCACATTCATTATCCTCACGTAGACCCTTCAGCGGGTTTGCCATATATGATTATTTTTTTAATGATGCCTTTCTTTCCACTTCAGCAGTTTAATAATCTAGCACATGGCTGCTTCTCAGTACTCAGCATTCACCTCCCCAATACAGAGGAGGACATGTGCTTTGGCTTCAAAATTCCATTTGCAGCTTTAGAAATGCATATTCCCTATGGAACAACATTTGTTTGACATAACCATTCATTTTTATTACCTCTTTAAATATGTTTATCCAGAGTTATCAATAATCATAAATAACTTGTATTCTCTTCTTGTCCTGTTTTTTTCCCGCAGACAAATTTGCTTACCCAGTATGTATTAAATCTCGGCAAGTATGATCAAAGCTATGACATCAGAGACCGTACGAGATTTATTAGGCAGCTTATTGTTCCAAACGAGAAGAGTGGAGCTTTAAGCAAATATGCCAAAAAAATATTTCTGGCACAGAAACCTGCCCCATTGCTTGAGTCTCCTTTTAAAGGTATGACTGCCAGTGTCATCTGCCGAATATTTATTACCTGAAGGAATGTAGTAACATATTCTGTTTCTAATATGCCTACAATGTCACTAGGCAAATATAGATGATTAACATGCAAGTGTATAAAGACAGTATGTACTTGACTTACTCATTTGCTTTTCAACAAGCAGGATTTGTATGTTGCACACATCGTATTTACCTGATATCCTGGACAAACTGATCAGTTTTATCATGTTGGTTTTGAATTTGGTTTAAATAATAGGTGCATGTCTCAAGAATATTCGTCTATTGAGAAAAATACCTTTATTCACACAGCAAGATTGTTCACCTTAATAGAGGGATCTTAATGTGACTGTTATTAATGCTTTATCAATCTGAAGTAATAAAAATCTGATATTCAAATTCAGTTTATTTTTGAGAAGTGGCAGTTCTCCTGGTTTGATTCTTGAGGTACTTTTAAAAATAAGGGCTAATGTACAGTGTACTTTGCTATTACTATTTTGTTTTCTCAATTAAAAATACAGCTTTATTTTGCTTTCTTAATTTTCACATAGTTATTTAATCCTGGTTTTGAAGGTGTAAAAGCAGCTCCATTTTGAAGAAAAACTATTAAAATTCTGGATGTGTTTGTGCCAAGACATGTATATGGATTGTTTAACTGTGCTGTCATTCTTAATATTCACAGTAAAGTAATTTTTAGAGAAGCTACATTTCAGAGCAACACCTCTAAACACACTGACTGATTAGCTTTTTTATTGACCATTATGGGGGAGATTATTGTAATCTATGGACTGAAATCAGTTTTTTGACCTATGAAGAGTTTCCTAGTTTATATTTATTCCATGACATTTGAGGTAATATAATGCCAATTACCTTTAGCCCTGATTAAGATTGCTCTTTGTGATGGTGCTCATGTTGTTTGTATATTTTCCCCCTCCCTTCTTTTAATAGATAGGGATCATTTCCAGCTTGGCACCTTATCTCATATTCTGAACACCAAAGCCACTGGGTACCTGGAGTTATCCAATTGGCCAGAGGTGGCGCCTGACCCATCAGTGCGAAATGTTGAAGTAATTGAGCCGGTACGTTGACATAATTAAAAGTAACTTTATTTGGGTTGTTACCAGATATTAAATCTAAAATGACTTTTTCTTCCAGAATGACTTTAATTTGCTATTTTGATGTATAATATATTTAGTTTACTTAGTCTGTGCTGGAAACAGGAAGCATCCATATTTTAAAGATTTTTTTCATGGAGAAAATCTTTAGATGTTTCACATTCTTTGTAATGCTCCAACATTCCTAATGCTCCAACATTAGGATACCTTATGTGCTTTCCTCTTAGATGAATATACCTTTTCCTGTGTTGTTATGACTTTCATACATGCCTTGTTAGTTGAGCAGCAGCATTTTGATTGTAGATGATGCAGGGGTTCCAGTAAAGCAAATGCCTGTCCATCTCATTTATCTTAAAAATGTATCTGAAAAAATAATACAAATTTGACTAAGTATAAGTCTAAACAGAAGAAAATAAAGTATTATAAACAAGAGCAAACAAAGTCCACATGTCCATTTTAGATGCCTTAAATAGTGTATGTGAATGCTATTAAAAATACCATTTGGTGTGGTGGTGAAATCATGACATTAAAGAGTGAGTCAGAGGTATGAGAGAGAGCTCCAAAAACAGAAAAAGTCCTGAAAGGAGCATGTCTCCTGATGTGGGCAATTCACAGACTAGTTTAGATATGATGTAATAGGGAGGTAGTAAGAGGTGATGTGTAGTGGTAAATGAGGGAATTTGATAGGTTGGTGCAAAAGCTAGGGCATAGTATGACTTTGTAAAGCAGTGGGATTTCCTGTTTTAGTAGCTAAATGTTCTATTTGCGTTTGTTTAGCAAAAATGGAAAACTAGTTCAGAAAGAGCAGTTCTAGCTTAGAGCTTAGCATAGAACAGGATATGAAAATATATTTAATTTAAGAAGATACTAGTAAAGGTGTTTTGTCTGGTAGCCCAAGGAAAGTAATCCTGTGAGATGCATCTATGTATTTCTGTATAAGGCTCAAGACAGACATGAGCAGTAGCCTAACTAAGTGGGCATGACTGGGGCATTAGGCCCAGGTGTGCGTGTGCGAGGCAGAGGGTACTAGGGGTGCAAAAAGAGCAACTGTTGCTGCCGGTGCTCTCCTGGCTGCTCTGCGGTTGGCAGCAGCCTGATGTAGCCATTGCCCTTACTTACAGCACTGCTGTTATCACCCAGAGCACAGTTATACCTGTGAATATGATGGCCATCTCCCAGTAACCTCAAGGAAAATTCCTTTCAAACTCTAGTTTTGCTGTCTTTAGTAGTCTGTGTGTATGTGATACCAGAGATGTAACAAAAATAGTTAGGATGTGGAACAGATTATTTATGCATTCCAAGCCATTCATATCCAAGGAATCTCAGAACATTCCTTGGAGTCTTAGAACAGCAGAGACTTCCTATGCCTGAAGAAGGGTGATTGTGCCCGAATGCTTGCAAAGATTTTTTTTCCAACTACTCAGTTGGTCTAATAAAGGGTATCACATCTACCCAAAGAATCTTGCCTGCTCGTATCCGAGAAAATAATTCATAGTTTGGGTTTTTTTGGTTTACATTGAGCATTAGTTGGGAGGTAGAGAATTTGAAACTTCTTGGAGGAGAAAATTTCTACAACATGTTGAAATAGAATTTTACAAGTCTCTGTGTCTGTAGATCCTTTGGTATATCATAGCTTCTCCAAATTCTGATGCGATTTCCAAATCACTGACATCACTGCCCGACAGACTTACAATATGCTTCTAGCTTAGCTAGTTCTGACTTTTTTTTCCTTGGCCTGTAAGAATTCCTCACAGGTCCTCTGATACTCCATCTTTCTCAATTCACTAATGTGGTTTACTGATCCTTGAGTGTAAGAATTTGTCATTTAGAGGAGGTATTACAGTGTGAAGCAAACCAGAGCTGTCCTAAGGGTACTTAAGCTTGCAAAGTGTAAGGAACCAGCCTTTGTTGTTTATTTGTGGGGGGTTTTGGGGGGAGAGGGGAGGAGAGTGGGGGGAGTATAGCAAGGAATTGACCTTTTTCACTCTCCCCTAAAACTTGATTTAGGTGTCAGAAAGGTGGTATATAAGCCCACCTGTGCACTTCATTTTCTCAGGTCTCTTGCTAAGCTGAAGTCAGCGACACTTCTACCTCATGTAGAAGTAAGGGGGTTTTTATGGCCTGGAAATGTAATTATGATCCTTTTTGCAGTACCTTGTGATCTCCTAATATGGTCACCTTACCCTGGTCAACATGCATAAGAACTTGTGGTAGTACTCATGGGTGAAAATAATAATAATAGTGCAATAATGGTTTTCATTATCATATTTATAATCCTGTCTTGGGAAACAGCCTTTGATCCCATTAGCTTTCTTTACCATGTTGTGCTCTGCTCCTATGTTACAAAGGTAAATGATTCTCTTAAGTTTATACAGAAACTTTTTTGAGTATCATGTTGAAATTCACTTGCAGACAAAAGAATGGACAGGACTTCTAGGCAAAGCAAAGAAAGAGAAGCCTACTAAAAAGTTTTATTCTGAGGATGAAGATGAGGATGAATCTGCTAGCAGCAGTGATACTGGTATGTATTTTGGTCGCTAACTTGCATGTCTCTTGTGTACTATACCATGCCTTCAAAACATGGTATTATTAGAATGGGAGAAGTGAAAAAAATGTTTCCCAGAATTCAGGCATAAATGAGGAAATGGGGCTTAACTTGAAAAGCTTAAGTTTCTTGATTACAGATACATTTTTTAACTATATGGATAATATCTTCAGACATGCCATTTCAGTGAGTAAAACATGATTTTTGCTTTGTTTTTTTTAGTTTAGTATAACTGGGAAAGCTGCTACTCTTATTAAACATGAAGTTGATTGAGAGTTACTGATAACTTGCAACTCCCCCATGTTGTAATATGTAGGAATAAAAATATTTACAAATATAATTTGTTAGTAGAGACCCTACACATTTTAATTGGTTTGTGCCAAATTGTTTATTTTGATAATGTGTTGACTTGTTGATAAGTGATTTGTGCTAAAGTACAAATTCACTTTAGTAGATTTTACCTTGGATCGTCTAGAGGCAAAATTTTGTTTGTTCCATTCTTCCTGTAGTGGACCGAGCTGTTTTACTATATTTTCCATTTGCATAGACTTTGTCTTAATGATAAAGGAAAATGATTTTTTGGTCATCTAAATGTTTGAGAAACAGATCCATGAGGTTGACATTTCCTATAGATTGGAATATAGCTCAAACAATTGGGGAATCAGGGTCTTGATGTTTGGCATTTGAGAGTTAGAAGAATTTGTGTTGCATATATGCAAAATTGAACAGTAAGAAAGATGTTTTCATATCCAAGTTGATAATTTCCCCCTGAAAATTGAGGTTATGATAGAGGAGAAGTGCTTAAAGGTTGTATTGCTGGAAGTAATGGACTGAAACTAGAAAAGGATACATTCGATTTAGACATTAAGAACATTTTCTAACCATAAGGTCAATTAGAGAATGAATAACTTGTTTAAGTTGGTGGTTAAATCTTTAACTCTATAGGTATTCAAGAATAAATTAGATAAAATACAAAGGCAATTAGTATAGAGGATAGTTCTGCAAAAGAGCAAAAGGATGGACTAGAGGACTTAGTCATCTCTAAGTCCTAATTTTTGCAGGTAATTTTGCAGGATATTGTTAAAAATCCAGCTATAATTAATATAATTAGTCCTAATTCAAACAGGTACAGCAAACAAAGAGATTTTAAAGATAACAAAACATCATTGGTATTAGGCTAAAAGAATATTTTTAAACAGTCTAATTTGACTTCAGTTAATTGGATCCAGGTATAAGTGTGAAGTGGATCTGTAAATAAAATGATTTTAAAAATAAAAATATAAATTTGGGCTGCTCTAGGAAGTAAATATATGGTGTTTGGGGGAAAAAAAGATAAAGTTATAGTGTTTACATTTCAGAGAGTAAATCTGGTAGTGAAAGTGAAAAAGAGAAGGAAGAAGGGAGCAGTATGGAAAGCAGTGGAAGTTCTTCCAGTGAAGAATCGAGTGATAGTGAAATGGACAGCAAAGAAGGTAGAACAAAGAAAAAATCTGAAACAAGTGAGGAAAGGTAAATGTGTTGGGTTGGGTTGGGTTTTTTGGGGTGGGAAGGGGGGCAAAGGAGGGGATACAGCATTTCAACCTTGGTTGAATACCTAATTAAGTTGTTCTTTTCCTATGATTTAGTTTCTAATATCTGCACCCACCTTTTGGAATGCAATTACCTGTTTAAATATATTTTAATGTATTTGGTTCTCTTCATTAGTTGGCCTGCTTTTATGCTTGGCTTTTGTATCTAACTTTAGCAAAATCTTGGGGTGGCTTCCTAAAATTGATGTAACCTTGGGAAGCAGAGTGAGTGATCAAGCAGTTGTATGAAACACTTAATTACCTTTTGCAGCAATTTTGCTGAGAGCTAAAATTAAGTCCTTCAACATTTTGCCGTTATGTAACTAAGACAATTGATTTTTCTAAATAATGTTATATTTAAAAGGTTATGATCCAAATATTAGAGGCAAAGGCTGTGAAGGGAGACAGTCATAAGCTATTTTAAGTGTTAGTGCTTTTTAAGATTGCCTATTATCAACAGCATTATCGTGTATTAAAATATCATTAAAATTTTGAGTAATTGGGGCTAATACCTTGGATTGCATGAATCTGTTTCTTTCACTGCTGTCAGCAAGTGGCCTCTGCAGACATGATCGCCCTTTACTCTGTAGCCTGCTGCCAGCTCAGTTGATGAGTTTGCAGCTCAGCTCAGTCGTGGCTGACAGCACTGATTGGGGTGCAGTACGCACTCTGCTCCTTTTATTACAGACAGTAATTAAAGCAGCTCGCCCTGCCACTTCCATAACAAACACAGCATAATGCCCTAATTATGACTTTATTAATTTAAGTCAGGATTTAATGATTTTAAAAGTGATTTATATTGTTTTTCCTGTTCAGAACAAATGAAATCTGTAGGTTAAATTAATACAGGCTTTTCATCATTGCAAAGTTAAAAAGCTAGTTACCAGTAAATTCTTTTCATTAGATTAACATCTGAAATTCTAAGCAGTAAGGTAAACAATGATTACCTATCAAAACTGAGTGAAGCATAACAAAATAATACTTTTATCTTGAAAAATCTCATCTTAAAGCTGAACGCAGTGTGTGTTCAAAACAACTTGCGTTTCTTATTACAACAAAGGAATATTCAAAATCACGGTGAATTCTTTGTTGATACAAATTTTGCTGGGTAGATTCCCTGGATTCAACTAAATAGGTGAATAGCAATGTGTTTTGCTGGCATCAGTTTGCAGTGGAATTAGGAAAAAACTTTAAACGTAATCAATTAGGGAATTCTGTTATCATCAGTGGTCTCCCGAGTAAGTGTGTGCCCCTTTTAATTGTGATTAGTTATTTCAAATTTTTTCTTTTTCTTTCCCTTTCATTTGGAGAACACAGATATGCTGTTGTGCAACTGTAGTGCCTCTTGTGAGGTTTTAAAGCTGCTGTCTTGAGAAGTAATACTGTTCGGGTCCGAAAACTATATTTTTAGATTTAAACTTTCTTACATGGCCTAAGCAGTATTACCATGGCTCCCTTTTAATAAGTAGACATCATATTTGCTTCAGAAAATTAAATTCTGGGGAATATTCGTTTTTTTTTTCTAAACACTTTCCCAGTTCATTTTTTCTTTTCTAGTTTTGTCCCTTTATAAAATGATATCTTGAAACTGTAGCATAGCATAATACATGCTTACAGTTACCTTCTCACCCTCCT